AGTGGTGCTTCAAATAACAAACAATTTCGTCCTAAAAAGGACGAAGCACTAAAAACTCAAATTCTGGAGCAAGGCTTAAGTCCAGGAACGGACGAACAACCAAAAGTTTCAGCCGGTGTTACAGCCAGTGAACGCTGAGAAAAAAGAAGAATCACTTTTTGAGACAGATGATCCTCCACACATGATGCCAAACTGTCCAGCATCTTTTCTCTTTAGTTTTTTTTTCGTCGCTCTTATCTTTCAACTTTCCCATTATCATAATCTACTCCAGCTATCTCGTTCTCACGCTGTAGCCAAATAATGTAGGTTGTTCCCTACTAATGCAAAACATGGACTCTTATCCAGTCTTTTGAATTGAAATGCTACACACAAATTCTTAGAATACCGTGAACCAAGAAGAAGAAAAACGTCGACATCTTGCATGAATTAAAAATATCAAGGAGAACTGGCTCATAAACAGCATCCTCCCAGAAGATATTCTGGATAAGATGAGGAAAGAAACGAACAGCTAACAACGGTGCAGGACGAGCGGTCGCAACCGGATGGAAGCATCAAGCCCAGAAATGGCGCAATAATAGAATTTAGTCACGAAAGTGATACAAATAACCCAGACCACAAATAAAGGCGGAGACTTAGCAGCCTCGGCTAGCTAGCAGCAGTCTGAAAGTGGTCGAGCCTTTCTTTTTTTTTTTTTTTTTTTCTCAAAAGGACTAGGACTAGATATTCAGGACATGTCAAGCGCGATGGTGGGCTGGTGAGAACGGCGATGGAGGGTTCAGAAAACGAGGCCGAGGTCGAGATCTGCGAAGGTAGATACAGGATAATGAAGATACCCTGCTATGAAAGGACATGGAGGTTGGAAAACTGGCCAGAGAAAGCGACAGTTTCAGGTGTGCCTTGAAAAGAGCGACGTTCTGTAAAGGACATGCCGATTGACAGAATGCAAGTAATCGGTTATCTTCATGAGGTAATTTTATACTATCAAGCCTAATCGTATACATCAACTCGGTACTTATCACGAACATAACCGCATCTCACCGGGTGCGAGATTTTATGTCGGCTTACATTCATGCCGTGGCCGTTCCCACGGACTGTCCTATGATCTAGGGGTGTCATGTTGTTTTATTTTAAATGCTGTGAGCATTTTATATTCCACGTTGTGAACGGCCAGTACGTTCTATTTTCTGCGTTGTGAGCGGCCGACACCAGCTTTGTGGGTTGGCTTTTCATGGCTATCACTGAGGCCTTACTTGGGGACTTGAACTTCGGCTATCAGCACTCGCGAGCGACAAGCAGAGTAGCGTTGCTTTTCTGCAACAACACGGCATCTTGCTTTCAGCCAGAAGCTGTTCCAAGAATTATCTCATGGTGCTGGACCTAGTTGACAGAGAGAAGAAAACTAGTTGAACACTCGCTCACTCGGTCGCACTCACCGTCGCTGGCCACGAAAGAGAGCTGCGCACTTTCGTGACGCACGTCGAACGAATTGGAGCCCGTATTCCACACGGTGTGTGTAGACGACGAAGAGGAAGGAACGCATATGCTAACACGCCTAAAACAAAGGATATCCCGTGAGAACGGCCATGACATGAATGGGAGGCGACACGAAATCTCGCAACCGGCGATGAGGTGATTTTCGTGATAAGCACCTTCAACTCGTTCAGTGCCAAATAATTCATGATATCTGGTGGCCCCCTTATCTATCTAAACTATCACATTGGTCAGAATAAATTATATCTGTCTTTGCCAGTTATCACTTTTACTCTAACGTCGGGAACCAGAGACAGCAACAACTTTCTGTGGGATGCGCTCAAGCTGTCCATGGCATAGTTTCTTTTATTCTATGATATTAGAATATTAGGTGCTTTATTAATATCCTACCCCAAACAGGGGAATTCCACACGTCACGGGATAGTCTTATATTTCAGGGGGTGGTAGATAGGCTGCATGCAGTCATGTGACCTAGGCTGCAAGCAGTCGTAGTACCTAGGTTGCACTCTTTCGTGGGACGTAGGTTGGTTGGGGTTAATGCCAGTTCTATATGTTTTGGGGTCGTTAAAAGCATCAGAAAGCCGGAAAACCCAGTCTAATCACCCTCTGAAATGTTGGACTGTCTTGTGATGTCATCTGGGAGTAGGATGTTAATAAAGCACCGAATATTATTCTAGCAAACCTTTAATGTTCTGCTCTTTGGCTTAGAGGTTAGTGCACTTGCTTCATAAACTACTACGCACCGGGTTTAAATTTCCGTGACCCTGATATTTGGAGGTGGGTGGGTGGAAACTAAAAAAAATCACCCCTCTTGGCTTTCCTACTCATGATATTGGGGCCTCACCACGCACTATTCCCAAGGACAGCATTAGATACACATACCTTACTTACTTACTTACTTTTTTGGTCGATTCTCATCTAGTCTGGGGTGTAGGAGTCAGGCACTGTCGAATGTTGTCTTCTCAGCGAATTCTGGTGTTCTCTTTCCCTGGTTCTTGACCGCCAATGACTGCCATGGTAGCTAATGCGCGCTCCCTTTCTGCATACATGTCCAAACTATTGAAACTGACTGATCCATTCGAGTTTGTGAAGTTTGAGTTTCAAGATCATGATGTTTTGTCTGTTTGCGGACTTCGTCCTGTCTTGTCACTTGGACTAACTGTCTGAGATATCTCATTTATGAGACCTGATGCTGGCTTCTTTGAGCTGCTGTCATTGCCCATCACTCACACCGGTAGGTCAGGACTGGTATATAGGTAGAGCAGTAAATAGCCACATTTGTCCTCTTGCCAAAAATACACACATCTGAGACAGATTAACTCCACCATGGAGACTACCAGCTGTATTTATGAAACCAAAAGTATGTAACTTGGCTGATATACAGTTCGTGTTGCTCTGACTCACAGATCATGGTTCTGGAGAGGAAAGACTGAACAGCCCAATGGCACTTGGCGGACTACAAGAGAGCTGCATCAGTCCTACAAACGACAAGAGACCCACATCGAAAGAAGGATCCAGGCCGGATAGCCAGCCAAAATCCCCAACAGCGATGGAACCTGCAAAACGAGAGGTTGAACAACCCGGATGTGACCCACGTGAACCAGGCTTCAGCCAAAGAAGTCATGTACCAGCATCACCAGCGCATGATGAACAAACGGTACTGGACTGGCCTTTATCTGCTTTAGCTGGGAGATGCATTGGTAACCCCCATAGCACTCCAGAGCTGCATGTTCCGCCAAGAACACCCATAGCGAGGCAAGTCTCCTTTTCTTTGTATAGTCAACTCAGTATTCTTGTACCGTCCACTAATAGAGAGACCGGCTGAGATACAGAAAGCCCTATACGTGTTGCTTATGTAATCTCCTGAAAGGCTGAGTGAGTTTTAACTAAATGCATCGAGTTCAATGCGTTAGCGTACATTTCAGTTGAGCTCTGAAAAGGAGTTTGCATCTTTAGGAGTGAGGCTGGGATACATACTATTCTTTAGACCAGTGTTTCTAAACCTTTTTACACCCGCAGCCCACCAGAAACAGGGGAACTGTTTCGTGGCAGATCTTGAAGCTAATAAAACAGAAAGAAGACCGACGCGTACGAAGCATCACTTGCTTTGCCAGGAGTCATATAGTCGCTACACGAGTTCTTGTCCTTACTCCAAGCCCAGACTAGACTACTGGTTAGAGAACCGTCATGTGTCACAATATGCTTAACTGTTGTTTTTTTGTTTTTTTTTGGCAGTTCTTAGGCGTTGCGAAAAAAAAACTATCCATCGTACCCTGTTACATGATTATGCAGAAATGGTTGGCAGTCCATTTTGACTTTTCCGCGACCCATCAGTTGAACACTGCTTTTGGCCAGTAACGTAACTTCTTCTTCTTCGCGTTTACCAGCTGTAAACTGAGGCGGAAAGTTCTGGTTGTTCATCTACTTCTGGACTGCAGTCCTGTTCCAGAACCTGAGTGTTGCGTGTGCATCGATTTTACAGATCTGACTCATTTGTAATCAGGCTGCATATTCCTTGCCTCTCAGGCAGATGCACTCCGACTTGAAGGAAGCTCCCAGTTAGTCGATTCTTACGACATGCTTTTGGGTAGGCAGTGGGTCTATTCTTGTTTTCCCTATAATAGGGTCTCGGAATCCACACGGGGAAGTAACGTTGCGAAATGCCCATCCCTAAAGAAAAACTTAAGCCCTTTGAAGCCCCCCCCCCCTCCCACCCTTTCTGATGGCTAAGGGGCACCTTTTCCCCCTCCCCTACCTCTTGCAATGTGTGCAAGTCCCGTATAGAAACCTCCAACAAGTAGAGAGAGATATTTAAGGTGTGTAACTACAATACTTTTAGGCCGGTTAGGATTACGTCTAGCTTATGCATTTTCTTTCACAGATTTTATGTATGTCTTTGTTTAAAAAAAAAAAATCTGAATTTTGAATGGGGGTAAATTTAAAAAAAAAATCAAAGAAATCTGAGAAATGTCTGGGCAACCGCTGATATCAGCAGTTGAGATGAATAAAGCTCAACCCCACCAGAACAACTCTACGAGCAACAAACACATAAAGCGCCACCTATCGGGTGAGAATCACCCGGGCGAAATTCCCAGAAACTCCATTCACTGTTAGGTTTTATTAGGGCCCCCGAAAACAGCTTGATTGGGGCTGTAAAATAACGGAAAAAATTGTCTTCCATATTAAGTCGGCAACAAATTTTAGCAGTTATAAAGAAGAATTTGATTCATTTGGCACATCCTGGTAAGAAACGGGCAGAAAATCACAAAATAGGCACTGTAATGGAAAGCAAATAGATTGAGAAGACGAGGACTTTCAAAAGGACCACTAAGACAAACGTTGATGAGAGAGGCAAAAGATGCAGGACTGGATTGCCTTTATCTTCTTCTTCTTCTTTGCGTTCACCAGCTGTACACTCTGGTGAAAAGTTCTGGTTGCTCGTCCACTACTGAACTGCAGTCCTGCTCCAGAACCTGAGTGTTGCGTGTGCATCAGCTTTACAGATCTCATTCTCTTGAATACAGACTGTTGGTTCCTTGCCTCTCCGGCAGATGCACTCCGACTTCAAAGGAAGCTCCCCAATTAGTCGACTCTTACTACATGCTTTTGGGGAGGCAGTGGGTCTATTCTTATTTTCCCCACAATGGGGCCCCGGAACCCACACGGGGGATTCCCTTTATGACATTGAAACAAATGCATATGTAACTAAATTAGCGGTTCTCAACCTATGGGTGGCAATCCCCTTTTTTTTTGGTCCAACGACCTTTTCACATGGGTCGCCACATACCATCGCAAAATTAAAAAAAAAATTGAAGTTATGAAGTAGCGACGAAAATAATTGTATGACTAGGG